AATCGCTAATAAAGGGAGGACCACATATACTTTAATACTCTTTCCCTGCTAGGTAGGCTCTACTGAAGGAAAACTGCACATTTCCATACAAATTTACATTTCTGTACCTGGTTTATACACAGGGCAGGCTAGATATCAGGTCATGCACTGTATCCATTCTCCTATATCCAAAGAACTACTAAGGCACAATAAGGTAGCTATCAGGACCTCCTCCAAAGCTACAGCCCTCAAAAACAGATGTTCCAGCTCCTGGAGGTCCCACTTAACTATAACAAGAATATACATTTAATTAGCATACAGCATGATGCCTTAATTTTTGTTTCCACACCTGAGATGATACAACATAACTGCGTATAAGGAATTCATCTAATTGGTTGGCTTAAAACACCACACTTTTAATCTAGTATTATCATGCCAATACATAGTAACTTGTGGAGAGACTTTGGCTGAAACAGCTGAGAGTGGGTAAAGAGTAACATATTGATCCTGCACACAAGTGGATGAGGTGTGAGACACGGAGCATGGCTTGAGCACATATGTGACCTAAAACCCACCTCCATCGTAACACTTCCTCTTACAAAACCCTCCTACTCCAACATAGCCGCTTATCTCCAAATCCTTGGATTACTCTAGGCCATCCAGGCTTCATGGGCATATGCTCATGCAATGATCTCTGTTTTCCTTCATTCAGGGATATGCCTCATATTTCAGGCCTCAGTGTCTTTCCTTATTTGGGGAGAGAGATTCCATAATGCACAAGCCCTGTTGTGAACAATAAAGTCAGAACAATATTTCTGAATCTGCCATGTTTTGCTTCTTGATAAAGAATGAACATGGCTCCCTAAATACTGCATATGCCAGGTCCTCCTGACCACCCCTGACTTGGAGATGTGGTGGCTTCAGTCAACCCTGCTTGCCATGAGAGGAGACTCATTCATTGGGATGGGGGAGGGGTGGTGTGGCTCAGCGGTCCTGCAGGATACAAGCATGGAGGTAGACCCTGGCAAGTCTTGGAGAGGCCATCACCAGGGGAAGAAAGGGGGATGGAAACCTGAAACTCACATGGAACATTCCATCAGCCCTCCAATACCTGCTTAGTCACCTGACTCTGGACAAGAGTAAGATATCCCAAATAAGTTCCAGTTGTAGTCTAGCCTTTACCTCCAAAAAAACAAAAAAAAAACCTGCCAGCAGGGCTTTGATGGCTCATGCCTTTAATCCCATCATTCAGCAGGCAGAATCAGGAAGATTTCTGAGAGTGGAGGACAGCCTGATAAAGAGATCAAGTTCCAAGACAGGGTCCAGAACAATACAGAGAAACTCTGTCTAGAAAATGGAAATCAAAACAACCAAACCAAAAGAAAACAAAAAAAACCTAAAGAAAAAGTTAAACTGTCAAGTGGATGTGGTTCCCGCCTTTAATCCCAGCGTTCTAAAGGCAGAAGGAGCCACATCTCTGTGACGTCAAGACATACCTGATTTTCAAATGGATCTCCCAGTTAACCATAGCTGATACATAGAAAATATCTCTCAAAAAACTTTAGAAAATGAAAGAAAGACAGCAAAAGGAAGAGAAAGGAATACCACTTGGAAATCTCTTTGGTCAGAATAATATAGTGTGTCACACACTGCAGTTTTCCAGTGTCAGTAAGGCCTGACAAGAAGATGAAATTCTCATATCTTCCAAATAAATCAGGAATCAGAGAGAGAATGAAGCAGGCTAGACTCCTTAATCTCAAGGACAAGCCAGTGATGGACATCTGCCATTGAGATGGCAATTTTATGTGTCACTTTGACTCCATCTCTAATGAAATATAAAACAGACATTAAGGGCACCCCTGAGAGAGATTATTTTTGAATGATTTCCTGTGGATCCGGAGGAGGTAAATACCGGTATTTTGAGGATGTAGAGTTTTGAAGACACACACCTTTAATCCAGATCTTCATGCAAATAGCCACACCTTATTATGACCACGCCTTCTGCTGGATGACTATATAAGAACAAGGAAGAAGGTAGCTTTTGCTCATTGGCCACTTGCCCTCATCTTGAGAACAAGTCCATTCCTTCGCTGGAATTAGAGTCTATTACTTTGGTGTTACAGCATATATTGAAGATCGGCCAAGAAACCCAGCACTGTGGACTGAGAAACTCCTGGATATTAGACGACAGACTGTAAGTCTTTCCAATAAACAACATTAAGGGGAGTGGTTGAATTATTGTACAAGATACTTTTTGTTTAGAGAAGTCTGACTGATAGTCACCAAGTCTCTACCACATGAATTTCCACACATAGGGCAAACCCCATGCTCAAATGCTCAAGATTGTAGGGGCATTTCTCTTAGGAACTGGCCCAGTGGTTTATTTCAAATTATCTCAGGCATTGCGAGCACTTGGTTTTCAGGAGTTAGTGTTGCTTGGAAATCTGTAGACAGTATGGATGTGGACATGAAAGTCCCTACGAATAAAGTCACTGGTAGACAGCAGCGAACTTCTATGCAACGTTACCTGGCACCTAACAACCCAGCTCTAAAAGGAACAGGCTGTCCGCTGACACATGGATTTTAAGTCTGTTGGATATATGAGTGCAAATAAACACTTCCTCCCTAGAGTTGATTCTAAACTGGGTCTTGATCACACTCACCATGTTAAGGTCAGGGCACTGTAATGGTACAGAAGCTGTGACAACCAAACAAAGTAATAACAATAAAAGTCTGTCAATTTTTGCAAATCCCTGACTGGTTGGTGCATTTGAAATTTCAAGGAGGCATTAAGAATAATGATACATACCAGTTCATTGTGTCTTCTTCCTTTGTAGTTTTTTTTTCCAGACAGGGTTTCTCAGTGTTTCATTAAAGCCTTTCAGGGATCTCCCTCTGTAGACCTGGCTGGCCTCGAACTCACAGAGATTGCCTGCCTCTGAATCCCGAGTGCTGGGATTAAAGGCGTGTGGACCAATACCCGGTTTATATTAGTCCATTTGTATATAGCCGGCTACTGAGCCATGTCCTTAAATATTAGACTCGGTGTTTGATATCTACACAGCATTCTTGAGGTTACAAAGATCCTGATAGAATTGGAGATCTCTAATCAACTGAAACTCAACAGAGTGAAGTTGTTTCCCATTTTCTTGGTTTCCTTTCCTGAGATTTAGGATTGGTGTTTTAGAACCTAAGTATCACATTTTTGTTTGGATTCGATTTTCCTCTATTACAATTTATTAAAGTACATATCACACATGCCCTGTTTGATTATGCTACATCGACGCCTGACTTAGTGTACTTTGATTATATTCTCCTCAGTGTCTCATTCCTTCCAGCATATTTTGTTACTGGTACTATGACATTGACAACATCTCAGCCCCCTTTTTTTCATGACCCAGACAATAAAAACTATATCTGATTTCCTTCTGAGGACATGTTTTGTATCATTTACAAGTGTCTATCTATTTCTAGCTACTTTCAATATAACACTAGAGTTCACTACTCACTGAGCTTAGTGTGGTCTCTTCCCCTGAGTCTCCTTACATGGTCAGCAGATATTCAATTTGTTTACCTTTAAGTATCCTGCTGACCCAAGGGGAGGCCAATTTGATTGTGAATTTTTGGTTCTGTAGTGTGTTCAGAGATGGGTGTGAAATATGAATGATTCTTATTAATGTCTTTTGAATCTGTGTTTATTGAAGAAAGGAGTTTATACTTTATTTGTGTGCTTCTTTCCTTGGGAGCTCAGGGTGATACTGGTATAGGAATCAGGTGGGAGGCATTCCTTATATTTCCCTTTCATGAAGTATTTCCTGTAACCTGGATACTTGTGTTAGTTTCTGGAGCTGCAAGAAAACGCCCTTACGAACAAGACTGTTCAGAAGGAAAGGGTTTGTTCATCTTACACTTCCAAGATCACTGTTCACAACTAAAAAAAGTCAGCACAGGTATGGAACAGAGCAGGTTACTTAAGGGAGGAGCCGATGCAGAGACCATGAAAGAGTGGTGTTACTGTCTCGATCAGTCTGCTTTTGTATAAAACTCAGGAGAATAAAGGACCACTCCCTTTGGGCATGGTCGTCCTCCATTACCTATGAATTGACAAATCACAGCTCATGCTTTTTACAAGCTCCTTTTCCTTTCTCCAAGTATTTTCTATAATCCTGGTGTTTCTCATAAGTTTTCTATTACTGTCAAAAATCACCAGGACCAACAAGAAAGTTCAGAAGAAAAAGGTTTATTCAGCTTACACTTCCACAATCACAGATTGATTCTAAGGAAAGTCAGGGCAGGATGTCAAAGAGAAAAATTCTTTGAGGCAGCAGCTGATACAGATTCCATGGAATCGTGCTCATTATTGACTTCAGGAGTCTATTTTCATGTAGAACCCAGGCTCTAAAGTCCAAGCATGTAGAATAGGCTGAGTGCTGCCCTTTGGTTCCTATTTGAGAAATCACCTAACAGCTGTATGTCAGATTGTCAAATGAATGCCTCCAGTACTGTCTTCAGGGCATCCAAGAAGCCTGGGCTCTTCTTGGTTTTGGAGAAAGTTTGCTTCTAACCATATTTGGTGCTTATGTCTCTGTAGTATAAGTGCTTTTTTTTATGTGTGACTTCAATTTTCACAAATACATAGAAATGTTGTTTAGGACCTAACCATGCTTTTCTCACTATTTAAATTGTATCTTGTGTCTCTTGATCACTTTGGGCCAGGGATTTTCATTTTGATGAGGTCTTCATATCGTTGCCTTAATCCCAGTATTATCCTTTCTATGCACAAAGTAGTGATTCCAAATTTGATGTTTACAGTAGTGTCTCATCTCCTTCTTTGTCATTGGGTCTTCTAGTATTTGGATGTCATTGAATGACATCAATAGTATCTTTGGGTTATCTCTATGTGTCATGGTACAAAATTCATAGGAGTAACCTCCATGCTAAATTTGCTTTAATTTTTATTTGCAGCATTTTTTTGCTGGCGTGATTCCCATCAAAATAGCATTCGACACTGAGAAATCATCATGGACGGCCACTTTGAGGAGGACATCTTTGAAAACGATTTCATAATCTCAACATCTCTAGGCTTTGGATCATTTGGGGAGGTGAAGCTGGCCTGCCACCTTCCCACAAATACACAGGTTGCAGTCAAGGTGCTTGAGAAAAATCACAATGCTGTCTCTGGCATCCAGTCTGAAGTACAGATCCTTCAATCTTTGGAACACAGAAACATAGTTCGATTTTTTCACATCATTGATACACAGAAAATGTCTTATGTGTTCATGGAGTATGTTCCAGGAAGGGATCTGCAGATGCTCCTCAAGAACATAGGGTACTTAAAGGAGGAGGACGCTAGATCAATATTCCAACAGGTCGTGTCAGCAGTGCATTTTCTCCACAAAAGACGTATTGCCCATCGTGACATTAAATTGGAGAATATCCTCGTTGACGGATGTGGAAACATCAAGCTTTGTGATTTTGGATTGGCAATTCAGCTCAAAGAGGGGCAGATGTTGAAGAAGGTCTGTGGATCCTTGCTCTATGTGGCTCCCGAGATCTTAGCAAGGAAACCATACGATGGTCTAGCTGGTGACATGTGGAGCTTGGGAGTTGTCCTATATGTACTGGTCACAGGACAATATCCATATTTTGAAACAACAGCTCATGATTTGTACAGGCTCATCACAAACACAAAATTGGCCATTCCTTTCCACCTGTCACAAGCCTGTCATTTCATCATTGCACAATTACTCCAGGTCTCCACCCAGCACAGGATGACGATTTCTCAGCTTCTGCAAAGAAAATGGCTGGGCCAAATTGAAGAGGTTGTACAATCTGCAAGTAAAGAAACCCTTCTCAGGGTCCTTGACACTATGATTAGTCTAGGCTATCCTCATGGAGAGATTGTGTCATCCCTAATACACAGACAACCAAATAGAGTCACAGCTACTTTCAATATTCTGAAACACAAACTGAGCTGTGAGGACAGTCATCATCAAAATGAGAAGCCCTGGGTCATCCAAAGACCTGATCATGCCCTTCCCCCACTTCTCCCCTTGAAGAGGACAGCCAGTGAACCAGCCTTTCTGGCATTTTGGCAGGTGGGAAGGTTCCTCTCAGGAGGTTTGTATGAAAGGATGAGGAAAGAGATACTGACGCTCTAACATGGCCATTAAATTCTACCGCCTTGATCTGAAGCCCATGTCAGATGCAATAATCCCAGAAGAAAGTGTCCTGATGGTTAATGCCATCAAGAGTGCCATTGGGGACATTGATGTCACCATGACTACTGTGGACAGACTGCCATGTGATTTCTCCTCATGTGAATCAGCCCTGGATAGAACACAAAACGTGTGTTTGAACATGGACTTCCCCACAGAGAAACCATCCATGGGGCCAACATGCCCCACGATCAGTGTCAATTTGGAACCACAACCTCTGGATACAGGCCATTCAAGGCCTGGAAGCTTATGAGTAAGCAAATTCCCGACACAATGAGGGTTCCCTTATTTGCTCTGGAAGCTCTACATGGTGAGTGCTGGATCCTCATGGAAGCTAGAAAGGAAAGAGATGAATGTGAAATTAATAAGAGACTCATTTCTGTGGTTACCCTGATATTCTTTTGCATTGTATTTTCTCTATGTTATTTCAATAAATATCCGGTAGTTAATGACAAAAGTACCTTCTTGGTGTCTCTCCTGTACACTCAACGCCACACAAAAACACACACTTGGATGCATGCACCATACATTGTGTTGTCAGAGATTGCCACCTATACAAACATAAAGTACCCGCCATCCACAAAGGACATAATCTGTATCACATTCTATATCAATGAAGCTCTTCCTCTATATACATGTCTGTTTGTTAGTTCTTCCTAGGTATTCCCTTCAGTACTGTCAAAGAAAAACACTGCAACTATTCTCACCTCTCCTTACTTCTCTCACTTACAATACAAACACACACACACAAACACACACAAAAACACACACACAGACAACTGCACACACAGTCACACAAACAACACACACACACAGACAACTGCACACACAGTCACACAAACACACAACACACACACATACAGTCACACACACAGTCACACACATGCACACACAGTCATACACACACACATACATCACACACACACAACACACACAGACACACGCACACACAGTCACACACACACACACACACATCTCACACGTAAACAATGCTAGGTTACAGGACCCATAGGGCGTGCAATCGCTAATAAAGGGAGGACCACATATACTTTAATACTCTTTCCCTGCTAGGTAGGCTCTACTGAAGGAAAACTGCACATTTCCATACAAATTTACATTTCTGTACCTGGTTTATACACAGGGCAGGCTAGATATCAGGTCATGCACCGTATCCATTCTCCTATATCCAAAGAACTACTAAGGCACAATAAGGTAGCTATCAGGACCTCCTCCAAAGCTACAGCCCTCAAAAACAGATGTTCCAGCTCCTGGAGGTCCCACTTACTATAACAAGAATATCCATTTAATTAGCATACAGCATGATGCCTTAATTTTTGTTTCCACAACTGAGATGATACAACATAACTGCGTATAAGGAATTCATTTAATTGGTTGGCTTAAAACACCACACTTTTAATCTAGTATTATCATGCCAATACATAGTAACTTGTGGAGAGACTTTGGCTGAAACAGCTGAGAGTGGGTAAAGAGTAACATATTGATCCTGCACACAAGTGGATGAGGTGTGAGACACGGAGCATGGCTTGAGCACATATGTGACCTAAAACCCACCTCCATCGTAACACTTCCTCTTACAAAACCCTCCTACTCCAACATAGCCGCTTATCTCCAAATCCTTGGATTACTCTAGGCCATCCAGGCTTCATGGGCATATGCTCATGCAATGATCTCTGTTTTCCTTCATTCAGGGATATGCCTCATATTTCAGGCCTCAGTGTCTTTCCTTATTTGGGGAGAGAGATTCCATAATGCACAAGCCCTGTTGTGAACAATAAAGTCAGAACAATATTTCTGAATCTGCCATGTTTTGCTTCTTGATAAAGAATGAACATGGCTCCCTAAATACTGCATATGCCAGGTCCTCCTGACCACCCCTGACTTGGAGATGTGGTGGCTTCAGTCAACCCTGCTTGCCATGAGAGGAGACTCATTCATTGGGATGGGGGAGGGGTGGTGTGGCTCAGCGGTCCTGCAGGATACAAGCATGGAGGTAGACCCTGGCAAGTCTTGGAGAGGCCATCACCAGGGGAAGAAAGGGGGATGGAAACCTGAAACTCACATGGAACATTCCATCAGCCCTCCAATACCTGCTTAGTCACCTGACTCTGGACAAGAGTAAGATATCCCAAATAAGTTCCAGTTGTAGTCTAGCCTTTACCTCCAAAAAAACAAAAAAAAAACCTGCCAGCAGGGCTTTGATGGCTCATGCCTTTAATCCCATCATTCAGCAGGCAGAATCAGGAAGATTTCTGAGAGTGGAGGACAGCCTGATAAAGAGATCAAGTTCCAAGACAGGGTCCAGAACAATACAGAGAAACTCTGTCTAGAAAATGGAAATCAAAACAACCAAACCAAAAGAAAACAAAAAAAACCTAAAGAAAAAGTTAAACTGTCAAGTGGATGTGGTTCCCGCCTTTAATCCCAGCGTTCTAAAGGCAGAAGGAGCCACATCTCTGTGACGTCAAGACATACCTGATTTTCAAATGGATCTCCCAGTTAACCATAGCTGATACATAGAAAATATCTCTCAAAAAACTTTAGAAAATGAAAGAAAGACAGCAAAAGGAAGAGAAAGGAATACCACTTGGAAATCTCTTTGGTCAGAATAATATAGTGTGTCACACACTGCAGTTTTCCAGTGTCAGTAAGGCCTGACAAGAAGATGAAATTCTCATATCTTCCAAATAAATCAGGAATCAGAGAGAGAATGAAGCAGGCTAGACTCCTTAATCTCAAGGACAAGCCAGTGATGGACATCTGCCATTGAGATGGCAATTTTATGTGTCACTTTGACTCCATCTCTAATGAAATATAAAACAGACATTAAGGGCACCCCTGAGAGAGATTATTTTTGAATGATTTCCTGTGGATCCGGAGGAGGTAAATACCGGTATTTTGAGGATGTAGAGTTTTGAAGACACACACCTTTAATCCAGATCTTCATGCAAATAGCCACACCTTATTATGACCACGCCTTCTGCTGGATGACTATATAAGAACAAGGAAGAAGGTAGCTTTTGCTCATTGGCCACTTGCCCTCATCTTGAGAACAAGTCCATTCCTTCGCTGGAATTAGAGTCTATTACTTTGGTGTTACAGCATATATTGAAGATCGGCCAAGAAACCCAGCACTGTGGACTGAGAAACTCCTGGATATTAGACGACAGACTGTAAGTCTTTCCAATAAACAACATTAAGGGGAGTGGTTGAATTATTGTACAAGATACTTTTTGTTTAGAGAAGTCTGACTGATAGTCACCAAGTCTCTACCACATGAATTTCCACACATAGGGCAAACCCCATGCTCAAATGCTCAAGATTGTAGGGGCATTTCTCTTAGGAACTGGCCCAGTGGTTTATTTCAAATTATCTCAGGCATTGCGAGCACTTGGTTTTCAGGAGTTAGTGTTGCTTGGAAATCTGTAGACAGTATGGATGTGGACATGAAAGTCCCTACGAATAAAGTCACTGGTAGACAGCAGCGAACTTCTATGCAACGTTACCTGGCACCTAACAACCCAGCTCTAAAAGGAACAGGCTGTCCGCTGACACATGGATTTTAAGTCTGTTGGATATATGAGTGCAAATAAACACTTCCTCCCTAGAGTTGATTCTAAACTGGGTCTTGATCACACTCACCATGTTAAGGTCAGGGCACTGTAATGGTACAGAAGCTGTGACAACCAAACAAAGTAATAACAATAAAAGTCTGTCAATTTTTGCAAATCCCTGACTGGTTGGTGCATTTGAAATTTCAAGGAGGCATTATGAATAATGATACATACCAGTTCATTGTGTCTTCTTCCTTTGTAGTTTTTTTTTCCAGACAGGGTTTCTCAGTGTTTCATTAAAGCCTTTCAGGGAACTCCCTCTGTAGACCTGGCTGGCCTCGAACTCACAGAGATTGCCTGCCTCTGAATCCCGAGTGCTGGGATTAAAGGCGTGTGGACCAATACCCGGTTTATATTAGTCCATTTGTATATAGCCGGCTACTGAGCCATGTCCTTAAATATTAGACTCGGTGTTTGATATCTACACAGCATTCTTGAGGTTACAAAGATCCTGATAGAATTGGAGATCTCTAATCAACTGAAACTCAACAGAGTGAAGTTGTTTCCCATTTTCTTGGTTTCCTTTCCTGAGATTTAGGATTGGTGTTTTAGAACCTAAGTATCACATTTTCGTTTGGATTCGATTTTCCTCTATTACAATTTATTAAAGTACATATCACACATGCCCTGTTTGATTATGCTACATCGACGCCTGACTTAGTGTACTTTGATTATATTCTCCTCAGTGTCTCATTCCTTCCAGCATATTTTGTTACTGGTACTATGACATTGACAACATCTCAGCCCCCTTTTTTTCATGACCCAGACAATAAAAACTATATCTGATTTCCTTCTGAGGACATGTTTTGTATCATTTACAAGTATATATCTATTTCTAGCTACTTTCAATATAACACTAGAGTTCACTACTCACTGAGCTTAGTGTGGTCTCTTCCCCTGAGTCTCCTTACATGGTCAGCAGATATTCAATTTGTTTACCTTTAAGTATCCTGCTGACCCAAGGGGAGGCCAATTTGATTGTGAATTTTTGGTTCTGTAGTGTGTTCAGAGATGGGTGTGAAATATGAATGATTCTTATTAATGTCTTTTGAATCTGTGTTTATTGAAGAAGCGAGTTTATACTTTATTTGTGTGCTTCTTTCCTTGTGAACTCAGGGTAATACTGGTATAGAAATCAGGTGGGAGGCATTCCTTATATTTCCCTTTCATGATGTATTTTCTGTAACCTGGATACTTGTGTTAGTTTCTAGAGCTGCAATAAAACGCCCTTACCAAAAAGACTGTTCAGAAGGAAAGGGTTTGTTCATTTTACACTTCCAAGATCACTGTCACAACTTAAAAAAGTCAGCA